TGTTTCCGATTCTGTGTCTCCCTCTCTCTGCCCCTCCCCCGTCATGCCCCTTCTCTCCCCGTCCCAAAAATAAAAAAAAAACGTTGGAAAAAAAAAAAAAAAAAACCAAACCCAAACAGGTCGAACGGTATTCCGTTGTATGTAAATACCACATTTTCCCTACCTGCTCCTCTGTCGGTGGACATTACGTCGTTTCCACTGACGTGAGTAGTGTCGAGTAAACGTGGGAGTGTAGATATTCCTTTTGAGATGCTGATCTCAGCTCTTTTGGATAAATACCCAGAAGTGGGATTGCCGGATCATGTGGTAGTTCTATTTTTAATTTCGTGAGGAGCCACCTTACCACGCGATCTTGAAGAGCCTGCGCCCCCACTACCACCCCCCCCCCCCAGATCACTCGTGGTCCACCTTCTTGAGGCTTTTTGTTGTGTGTCTTCTAGATCAAGCGGATGGCTCTTTTGGCATCTGCATGGTAAAGGATGACGCCAAGATCAGCATTGAACCGTGAGTTGGAACAGACCTGGCACCGGAGGGTGGGTCCTTCCAAAGTGGGGGTACTTTTACCCTCCTTGTGAGCCAGTGTCTGTTTTTCCCAAGGAAAAGCATCATAGGGGATCCTGTCTAGCTCCAGAGTCTCCCTCAAAGAGAAGGGGTGCGTTTCTGTGGGTGGATGTGGGAAGGTCCCCCCAATATTCCTTCTGTCCAGATGTACCATAGCCGGGTCGGGGACAGAATGTCTAGGACCCTGGAGTTCTGGGTGGAATTGGTGATCGTCCAGCGCAAGACCCTTGAGTGTCTGTGGCACATGGCTAGATCAATATGGCCATGGATGTAGACGCGTGCCAGGTATCAGCATATACCTCCCCTATCCTAGACCCGAAGAGACACCGGAAGCCAGAGATATGGCAATAAGACCAATCAGAGAAAGGAAGGAAGTGTCCCTGGAGAGGTTTCTGGGATGCCCGCACGTATCTGTCAGGGATGTCGAGACACTCAACACACACGACAGATGGCAGAGGGTTTCCCCAGGGCAGGGCTGTGGCCCGAGAGCAGGGCGCGCCGCGCGTCTCTGTTGCGTTTCCCGTCTTGGTCACGCGTGTACGCCTCGCGCGTCTGTGTGCGTGGCCTCATTTCAGACACATCAACATAGGAAGCCGGTTTCAGGCTGAGATCCCAGAGCTCCAGGAGAGGTCGCTGGCCGGAATGGATGAGCACGTAGCTTCTCTGGTCTGGAAGCCGTGGGGAGATGTGATGACCAACCCAGAAACGCAGGACAGAGGTGGCTGAGACTCTGCAGCCGAATTCCCAAGGGCCCGGCCCCCCCCCCACCCCCCGGTTGTCTGGGGATTTCTCCCCCCCAGTTCTCACCTTGGCCAAGAAGCACGGGATCATGCTTGGCGCACTCTTGCTTCTCCTGAGCTGTCGTCTCCTGCACACACCTCCCTTCTCACACGATTCGGGCCAGGCCGTTCAGAGCGAGTGCTCGTGCCTCCCTTCCCTCATCCCGCTTTCAAGGAGCCCCTCTCGGTGCCATCAGGGAAGTCTCCGCCCTGGCACTTGCTGACTCCGCGTGTCTCTTCTCTCTCACCCTCCACTGGGACCGCTGGCTGGAAACAGTGACCGAGCTCTGCAACGTGGCCTGCTCCAGCGTGATGCCGGGAGGGGGCACCAATCTGGAGCTCGCCCTGCACTGCCTGCACGAAGCCCAGGGCAGCGTTCAGGTGAGGTGGAGGCAGGGGCAAGGCGAGGGGGAGTCTGGGGAAGCTCCCTGCTCTCCCGGGGCCGGAGGCTGCAGGTGCGCACATCGTGCTGTCTGCTCCGGGGTGTGCGGCCCGTGGAGAGTGAAGGAAGGCCAAGGGTCCTTCTCCCGTGGCTTTGGGATCGGTGTGGTGCTTGTGAGCTGCAGATATGGGCTCAGTGAACCAGTTGTCTCTCGGGAGCAACAACAGTGCCGGTGTCCCTCGGAGACAGCTCAGGGGCACTGGGGAGCCACAGCCCAGTGCACCCGTCTCGGGTCCTGCACTGATTGGGTTTATGTATTTATTTTTACATTTCTTATTTTATTTTTTGAGAGACCGAGTGCAAACAGGGGAGGGGCAGAGAGAGAGGGAAATGCAGAATCCGAAGCAGGCTCCAGGCTCCAAGCTGTCGGCACAGAGCCCGATGCGGGGCTTGAACCCCCAGACCGCGACATCACGACCTGAGCCGAAGTCGGATGCTCAACCGACTGAGCTACCCAAGCACCCGTGATTGGGTTTATTTACCGAGCTCTAGCTCCTCGATTAAAAACCCACATGTGAAAACCCCTGATGCAACAGAAATGCCTCTGCCTACTCCAAGGACCCTCCTCACATTCTTGACATTTAGAAAAGAAACCAACTCTGAGTAATGAGAAGAAAAGTGTCATCACTCGAGCTAGGTCCCCAAGAGTCTGGTGCCACAGTCATGGCTTTTTCTCAAGCTCAGAGGCAGCAGCTGGCACGTAGGAGGTGCTCGGCAGAGTCAACACATATTGATAAGAGTTGTCTCAAGCGCTTTGTAATGTCGTGGCACGGGGTCCAGGGCCGGCTCGGGGGCCCCAGTCTTGGTTTCATGCTGCCGCCACCATCTTGAAATTCTTAATGAAAATTAAGATAATTTTTGAACAGGGGGCCGGTGTTTTTATTTTGCACTGGGTTCCCCACATTACGTGGCTGGACCTGATGGGGGTTACTCTGGTGAGCAGGACAAAATCCCTCTATTTGCAGGCTTACATTTTAGAAGAGTCGAAACAGGAAATATATTTTTAATTTTTTTTAATGTTTTATTTACCTATGAGAGAGCATGAGCAGGGAAGGGGCAGAGAGAGAGGGAGACGGGATCCGAAGCAGGCTCCGTGCTGACAGCAGAGAGCCCGATGCGGGGCTTGAACTCACGAACTGAGATTTAGGACCTGAGCGCAAGTCGGACACTCAACCGACTGAGCCACCCAGGCGCCCCTAAAATAGGAAATAAGTTTTTAAAAAATTGTTGGTGGTTAGCGCTATGAAGAACATGAAGGGGGGTTAGTGGTCGAGGGCAGTGCGATTCCAAATGCGGGTCCTCGATGAAGGAAGGCGCTCACCCCACAATAAATCCCCACACCGTTTCCCATATCAGGAAAATGTTGCCACAAGAAATCTGTCAGCCGCACTCACCAGTATGCTTAGCGATGCAGTCCCCGCATCCGCAAATGGTTCACGGGTGGTGGCCAGTCTGTGGAGCACGCACGCTCCGCGCAGTAGGGCCGGAGAAGGTCTGAGGGAGGGCACGAAGTGTTTGCTTTTTTAAATTTTTTACCGTTTGTTTATTTTTGAGAGAGAGACAGACAGAGCATGAGCAAGGGGAGGGGCAGAGAGAGAAGGAGACACAGAATCGGAAGCAGGCTCCAGGCCCCGAGCTGCCAGCACAGAGCCCGACGCGGGGCTCGAACTCCTGAACCGCGAGATGATGACCGCAGCCGAAGTTGGACGCTTAACCGGCTGAGCCACCCAGGTGGCCCCTAAGTGTTTTTCGAATGCATGAAAGAAAAAATCGCCGGCCACGCTCCTCTTGTTTCAGGTTGCCCTGGAGACCCTCTTACTCAGAGGACCCCAGAAGCCGCAGACTCACCCGCTGGCCGACTACCGCTATACAGGTGACTGGAACAAGGTGGCGGGTGTGGTTTTTGCCTGGCCGGGACCTTGTGAACAGTCAGTTCCCAACAGCAGGTTCTCTTGGGGCCTTCACCTGCCTTTCCAGGAGGGCCTGTCCTCTCGGGGAGTGACTCCGTGGGTGGGTTTTCTGCTGGTTGCACCCCACCCTCCCCCTTTCCCAGGGTTCCCTCGCAGGCTCTGCTCGGCCACCAGGGAGAGGTGGAGGCAGGCCGGGGCGCAGCGGTGAGCACGCCAGCCCTGGAGTCAGGCAGGCCGGGGCCCTGGCCTGGGCGAGTCTCCCAACCAACGGAAGCCTCAGTTGCTGCATCTGTAAGGAGGAGGTCCCTACCTGCTAAGGCTTTTGTGAGAGTTGTATGAGGTTAAGCAGGGAAGGGGCTTAGCAGAAGGCTCGACCCATAATTGTGCTTGGCAGTGGCGGCTGTAAAAAGGAGGGGGGTCTGCCCTTAAGCCACGTCCTTCCCCGTCTTGGCTATTTCTCGAATAGCTTCAGACATCTGGACCCCCATGGAGAAGAGGCTTTTCAAGAAGGCGTTCTGCACCCACAAGAAGGACTTTCACTTGATCCACAAGACGGTAAGGTGAATGTGGGCGCGCCGGTGTAGACAAGGCCCCGCCTCGCGTAGCTGAGCCGGGCTACAGCTGAAGGGCCCCTCGGGGGTGACACGGTGCTTGCATCATAAACAGTTTCTAATTTCAAAAGCCACGCGCGTGGGGCGTCTGGGTGGCTCAGTCGGTGAAGCATCCCGACTTCGGCTCAGGTGATGACCTCACGGTTTGTGACTTCGAGCCCCCTGTTGGGCTCTGTGCTGACAACGTGGAGCCTGCTTCAGATTCCGTCTCCTCCTTTCTCTGCCCCTCCCCTGCTTGCTATCGTTCTTGTTCTCTCTCTCAAAAACAAAACAAAACAAAAAAAAAAAACACCTTAAAAAAAAAAAAAGCACACAGGGGCGCCTGGGTGGCTCAGTCGGTGAAGCGTGTCTGACTTCAGCTCAGGCTATGACCTCACGGTCCGTCGGTTCGAGTCCCGGGTAGGGCTCTGTGCTGACCGCTCAGAGCCTGGAACCTGCTTCACATTCTGTGTCTCCTTCTGTCTCTGACCCTCCCCCGCTCACATTCTGTCTCTTGCTCTCAAAAATAAGCATTAACAAACATTATAAACAAATAAATACCAGTTCGAGACGGTTGATCGTATGGTTTGGGTTTTCCATACCTTTATTGTCTACGCGCTCTAGCAATTATTGAGAATGGGATAGTAAAATACTTGCCTGTAACTGTGGATCTATTTTTCCCTGTAGTTCTATCAGGTTTTGCTTCACGTATTTTGAAGCTCTGATTTAGCCGCATAAACACCGAGGATTCTTATGTTTCCTTCATTAAATGGACCTTTTTATCACCATGAAATGATTTCCTTTATCCCTATTATTTTTTTGCTCTGAAATCTGTTTTTCTGAGACTAGTATAGCCAACCATTCCAGCTTTCTCAGAAGGCGATGGGTGTTTGCGTGGTATATCTTTTTTCAACCTCTTACTTTTAACGTATTTGTGTTTTCACATTTACGGTGTGTCCTTATAAGTAGCATGCGTTGGATGTTGCTTTTTTTAAATTTGTTTTAATTGAAGTCTAATTAACAAAGTGTTACATTAGTTTCAGGTGTCCAATATAATGATTCAGCAATTCTGTACTTTGCTCAGTGCTCATCAAGATAAGTGTACTCTTGGGTCGCCTGGTTGGCATATTGGATCTGACATCCGACTCCGGCTCAGGTCACGATCTTGCGGTTCGTGGGTTCGAGCCCCGCGTCGGGCTCTGTGTGGATGGCTCAGAGCCTGGAGCCTGTTTCGGATTCTGTGTCTCCTTCTCTCTCTGCGCCTCCCCTGCTCGCTCTCTCTCTCTCTCTCTCTCTCTCAAAAATAAATAAACACTAAAACAAACTTAAAAATTAAAATTAAAAAAGATAAGTATACTCTTAATCCCTTTCACCTGTTTCATCCCACCCCCCCCCCCCATTTCCCCCCTGGTAACCACCAGTTTGTCCTCTGTAGTTAAGAATCTGTTTCCTTGGGGCGCCTGGTTGGCTCATTCGGTTAGGCGTCCACCTCCTGGTTTCAGCTCGGGTCATGATCTCACAATTTGAGTTCGAGCCCCGTCTTGGGCTCTGCACCAACAGTGCAGAGCCTGCTCGGGATTCTCTCTCTCTTTTCTCTCTGCCCCTCCCCCCCCCAAAATAAATAAATACACATTTAAAAAAAGAATCTGTTTTTTTACTTGTCTCTTTTGCTCTTTTTTCGTTTGTTTTTCAACTGTTTTTAAATTCCACATGTGAGTGACATCATGTGGTATTTGTCTTTCTCCGACTTATTTCACTTAGCATTATACTCTCTAGCTCCACCCGTGTTGCGAATGGCAAGATTTCATTCTTCTTTATGGTTGAGTAATATTCCATTGTATGCTTTTTTTTTTTTTTTTTTTTTTTAACATTCGGTATTTTAGTTAGGGTGTTTAGACCATTCACATTGAACGTGATTGTCGAGACGGTTAGCTTCAAGTCCATTATCTCGCTGTTTGTTTCCTGAATGTCTCACCTGATCTTTGTTTCCCTTTTCTGCTCTTTCTGCCTTGTTTTAGATTATTGGAGTAGTAAATTTTAGGATTCTGTTTTATCTCCTTTGTTGGCTTATTGGCTATAACTCATTATTACATTGGTAGTGGCTTTAGGGTTTTGTTGTTGTTGTTGTTGTTTAACGTTTATTTATTTCTGGGACAGAGAGAGACAGAGCATGAACGGGGGAGGGGCAGAGAGAGAGGGAGACACAGAATCAGGCTCCAGGCTCCGAGCCGTCAGCCCAGAGCCCAACGCGGGGCTCGAACTCCCGGACCGCGAGATCGTGACCTGCACTGAAGTCGGACCCTTAACCGACTGAGCCACCCAGGCGCCCCGTGGGTTTTTAACTACGCATCTTTAACTCACCACAGTCGAACCTTCAAGTAATTGGATAACACTTTGCGTGCAGAATTAGTGCACCTCTGTCTCTCCCCCTGGCCCTTATATTATTATCGTCATGCATCTTATTTTCCATATGTTATAAACCCCCGAATGCCTTGTTATTATTTTCGTTCGAACAGCCAGTTATTTTTAGAGAGATTTCAATAATACAAAGTCTTATATTTTTACCCACATAGTTCCTCGTTTCACGGCTATGCATCCCTCTGTGTAGATCCGTTTCCATCAGGTATCATGTTCCAGAAAGAACTAGATCAATGTAAATCCTTTCACATTTCTTGTGGTGTAGGTTTGCTAGTAATGGATTTTTCCAGCTTTTGTGTATCTAAAAAAGTCTTTATTCAGGGGGCACCTGGGTGGCTCAGTGGGTTAATCATTGGACTTTGGCTCAGGTCATGGTCTCACGGTTCATGAGATCGAGCCCCACATCAGGCTGTGCGCTGGTGGTACGGAGCCTGCTTGGGATTCTCTCTCTCCCTCTCTGTCTCTCTTTCTCTGCCCCTTCCCCACTTGTGCTTGCTCTCTCTTTCTCTCTCTCTCTCTCTCTCTCTCTCTCTCTCCAAATAAATAAATAAATAAACTTTTTTTGAAAAGTCTCTATTTTGCCTTCATTTCCGAAAGCTATCTTTGCTACGTGTGGCATTCTAGTTTGACGGGTTTTTTTTTTTTTTTTTTGAAGTCTTGAAGTAATTTAAAGATGTTGTTCTATTTTCTTCTTGCTTTTACTGTTTCCAGCACGAAATCTCCTGGTTTCCTTGTCTTTGCTCCTATGTATAAAACACGTCTTCTGGTTGTTTTGTGGCTGGCTGTTTGTATGAATTTCTCTCCACTCCTGATTTTGAGCAGTGTGATTACGGTGTGCGCTGGCATTGTTTTCTTCTTTTTTTTCTTTTCCCCCCCCTTGTGGTTGGGGTTTGTTGAGCTTCTTAGATCTGTGGGTTTGGAGTTTTTATTCAATTCAATTTATTCAATATTCAGCCTTCCTTCTTCAAATATGTCTCGTGTCCCCTCCCTTTTCCTTCAAGGACCCCACTGATGTGTGTGTGTGTGTGTGTGTGTGTGTGTGTGTGGCTTCCTGCACTTGCCCCACAGCTCACTGACGCTCTTTTTCATCTATCTGACTGTTTTCCCTCTGTGTGGTTCATTTTGGATGGTTTCTGTCGCTGCATCTTCAAGTTCACTCATCTTTCCTCCTGCGGCCCCGAATCTGTCATTAATCCCATGTGGTGTAGTGTTCATCTTAGATTTTTTTTCTGTCCTTCAAAGTTCTCTTTGGGTCTCTTTTTTAATTTTTATTATTTTTTTTGAATGCTTATTTATTTTTGAGAGAGAGAGAGAGACAGTGCGAGCGGGGGGTGGGGTGGGGGCAGAGAGAGGACAGAATCCAAAGCAGGGTCCAGGCTCGGGGCTGCCAGCAGAGAGCCCGATGGGGGGCTCCAACTCACGGACCACAAGATCATGACTTGAGCCAAAGTCGGACACTTAACCCACTGAGACACCCAGGCGCCCCCTTTGGGTCTCTTTTATATCTTCCATGTCTCTACTTAACTTTTTGATCATATATTATATAGATATCATAATATTAATGTCCTTTGTTGCCAATTCTTTTTTTTTCAACGTTTATTTATTTTTGGGACAGAGAGAGACAGAGCATGAACGGGGGAGGCGCAGAGAGAGAGAGAGGGAGACACAGAATCGGAAACAGGCTCCAGGCTCCGAGCCGTCAGCCCAGAGCCCGACGCGGGGCTCGAACTCACGGACCGCGAGACCGTGACCTGAACCGAAGTCGGCCGCTTAACCGACTGAGCCACCCAGGCGCCCCACAACTTGTTCCTTTGGGGTATTGCCTTTCGGTTTTTTAACCTGGAACCAGAACAGCTTTCACCTAAGGCTAATTAATTATTCCTCATTTCTGAGGCAAAACCCTCCTCTTACTCTGCCGGTGCCCTGTGAATTATGAGGTCTTCCACCCCAGCTGGTGGGGACACACACACCATTCCCGTCCCCACGAGAGCCACGGGCACCTTTCCCTCTGACCATTTTGGATGAGTCTCTACCGAGCTTCGTGTGGTCTCTTCCCACGCACTTCGCGGAATCCTCGAGGGCAACGCTGTCCGGATCTCTGGCGTTTTCCTCCGTGCCGCCGTCTCCTCTGCTGTACTTTGTCCTGTGGACTCTTGCCACCTTGGTCCCAGGCACTCGGCTCCCTTCCAACTCAGGGAGTCCGCCGGGCTCTGCCTGGGCCGCCCCCCTCCCCCAGCCGTGGCCTGGAAACTCTCCCAAGGTGGTAGTTTATTTCTCTTTCTCTCAGCAAGACTTCTTTGATGGACGCCTGATGTCTTACCGACCGTCCTTTCATATACTCTACCTGTTGTCTTTTCGCTGTTCTGGATGGGAGAGCGCTCTAGCCCCTGTTGCTCTGTCTCGTTTGGAAGCAGAAGTTCAACGTGTTTTGGCTTTGTTTTTGTTTTTTAACTCAGTGACAGTTCCTAGACGGGCAGGGATGTACTATTTTGACTCTTAGTTTGTGAAGACACACAAAGCTGAGAAAAATTCACACGGAGGAGGAGATGTCTTCTGAAGTGAGCTCCAGATATTAAATGGCCAATTTGATTTACCTGAGCCATTTTCTTTCCAGAGCCGTTAAACTTTTCCCTTGCGTTTTGTTTTTCCAGAAGGTACCGTTCGCGGCATCACTTCTCAGTGGAGGGAGGAGCAAAGTGGGGTCCGATTGCCCAGGATCAAACCGTGCCCTCAGAACCTCTTCCTCCTCTCGTGGGCCACTCTCCCCTGTCCCTCGGGGGCCCCGCGACGGGTCACGGAGCCCGGAAGGCAGCCCCTGAGGGCCTTCTGCTCGCATTAGTCCCGGTGGGGAAGCAGGCGGCTACCGGGCGTGATGCCACAGTGAGCATGCTCGTGGCACGCCTTCTAGGGCGCCTTCCCGCAGGGAAGCATCCCCGGGATGGATGTGCCACTCAGGGCGCGGAGCTTAGCCGGTGTTGGCTATGGGGGCTTCGCTCCGAACCGCCCCCTCAGCCGCGAGGGCTTTGTGATTTTCCGCCCCTTGCAGCGAAGGGGGCCCCAGGCTGAAGCAGAGGCATCTCAGGAGGGCTTTCAGGCAGTGACTGGCCCCGGGGGAGGGGACTTGGGGCTTCGCCGCCACACGGGACGCCCCCCGCTCGCTTGTGAGGTGTCTCCCGTAGCCGGCTCCTGTTTTCTCTCACTAGATTCAGACAAAGACTGTAGCCCAGTGTGTTGAGTACTATTACATCTGGAAAAAAATGATCAAGTTTGACTGTGGCCGAGCCCCAGGGCTGGAGAAGAGGGTCAAGAGAGAGCCAGAGGAGGCAGACAGGACAGAAGCAAAGGTAGAAGGGCTGGAGGAAGGTGGGGGCTGGAGGTCAGCCCTGATCGGGAGGCCCCGGCCCATCCAGCTCAAGGAACAGGGAAGGGCGCCCGGAGGGAAGGGTTTCCCGGCGGAGGAAAGCGCCTCCCTTAGAAGGGTGGGGGGCCCGGCACCCTTACGGCCGCGTCTCTGTTCTCGCAGGTCACTTGCAGCCCTCGGGAGAGACCCAGCCACCGCCCCACTCCCGAGTTCAAGATAAAGACCAAGAGTTACAGGAGGGAGTCCATTCTCAACTCTAGCCCAAACGCCGGCCCCAAGCGGACCCCCGAGCCGCCGGGGAGTGCGGAGGGCCGGGGCGTTTTCCCCTGCAGGGAGTGTGAGAGGTACCAGCCCTTCCCCCGGATGTGCCCTGTGCCCGCACCCCCTGCCCTCGGGTGACCCCCCCCTGCCCCCTGCTCTGACCCACGCCCTCTGGTGGCTCCTCAGGGTGTTCGACAAAATCAAGAGTCGAAACGCCCACATGAAGCGACACCGGCTTCAGGACCACGTGGAGCCCGTCGTCCGGGTGAAGTGGCCTGTGAAGCCTTTCCAGCTGAAGGAGGACGAGGAGGAGGAGATGGGGGCCGACATCGGGCCCCTGCAGTGGTGACGCCTGGGTGGAGAGCTGGGGCGAGGCGGCGAGGCAGCCCCGCAGCCCTTCCCCTCGGCCTCTCCGGGGTGTCTGGGGCCCCCCCTCTGCCTCCTCCCCACCCTCACCGTCCCGCAGTGGCCAGCCCGGCTTGGAAACACGGTGGGCGTTTGGCCATAAATAGGCAGGAGAAGCACCCAGTCGCCAGACCGCGGTGACGTCCCCGTCGGCCGGTGCCAGAGGCTCCACGCTCTTTAGCTTGATAGTGTCTCCCCTTCTTTCAGTTCTACTCTGTCCCGGAGCAGGGAGGTGTGGGGAGGGAGCGAGGCAGACCTGGGTAGCTCTTAAATCTTAGCCTCAGTTTTGGGGTTTGGTTACATTTGTTAGATAAGGCCGAGATGTAGAGAATCAGTGGGAAGACACCTTCAGATCTGTGGCCTGTTGGGGCCCCTCCCCAGGGGAGTCTCTCTGCTTTCCAGATTCGGTCCCTAGTCTGGCAAGGACTTGTACATGGTTAGGTTTTTTTTGTACGTGTCGACTTGTAAGTCTTATTAAATTGGGTTCTTGAGCGGCTGTCGTCTGGCTTCCCTGGTCTGCTGATCCAACAGAGTTTCGAGCCCCGGCTTCTCACTGGAGCCACGGAGATGCGTAAGCGGAGCTCCTGCCCGGGAGGAGCTGGGGGCCTCATACACGCGTTCAGCCAGCACCTATTAGGCACCTAATGAGCCAGACAGCGCCCGGCCCGTGCAACGGGGCCACCGTGATGCAAGGAACAAGGTCCCTCTCCCCGTGGAGTTTGCGTTCTAGGAGTGGGAAGGCAGCGGTGATAAAGAAATGAAAAGGCGATTGCAGACACTGGCCGTGGCTATGCTCGCGGCCACAGGAGCAGGAAGGTCACCATAGGGTTCAGCAATCGGGGCATACAGTGGTGGGGTGGCTCAGCCGGGAGATCCAGGACCGCCAGCGGCAGCCAGCCTCGGCGTGGCAGACCTTCGGAGGGGGCGGGGAAGAGAGCACAGCCCTCCCTTGTGTCCCTTTTTTTTTTTAATTTTTTTCTTTAATGTTTATTGATTTTGAGAGAGCGTGTGTGCACTCGCACAAGTGGGGGTGGCGCAGAGGGAGAGGGAGACACAGAATCCAAAGCAGGCTCCAGGCTCTGAGCTGTCAGCAAAGAGCCTGACGCAGGGCTCGAACTCACGGACTGCGAGATCATGACCTGAGCCGAAGTCGGAAGCTTAACCGACTGAGCCACCCATGCACTCCTCCAGTTTATTTATTTTTGAGAGAGAGAGAGAGAGAGAGTGGGGTGGGGAGGGACAGAGAGAGAGAGAGAGAGAATCCCAAGCAGGCTCCGCACCGTCAGCACAGAGCCCAACAAGGGGCTCGAACCCACCAACCATGAGATCATGACCCGACCCGAAGTCAGACGTTTAACTGACTGAGCCCTCCCAGACACCCCCCCCCACCCTTGTGTCCCGTTTGAAGAGCCAGGAAAGCTCATAGCAGCCCCCAGACAGAATGCCCCCAAGCTCTTCCTCAGCTGAGCCCTGGCGGTTGGAAGGAAAATGTCCCCAGTTTTCCTGGACCCTCAGGGTTTGTCACCAGGACCAGGGGATCCCTTGAGCTTGTTGCCACCAGATCAGAACGGGGATTCTGTCTGCCAGGAAGGGAAGAGGAAGCAGAGACGGCTACCGGGCAGGTGGACCTTGTGTCCACAGAGTGACGTGAAGAAAATGAAGCAGGGGGCCGGGTCCTACGGAGCGACCACGGTGTTGTGGCAGGCGGGTGGCCAGGGAAGGCCACGCGGACGGCCGCTGGGGCCAAGATCTGGATTCCAGGCGGCGGGCGGCACGGAGGAGCGCACCCTGCCGCGGGAGCTGGTGGCGAGTGTTCCAAAGGCCCTCCGGCGACTCCGCGGAGCTGGCAGGAGGCCGGGTGGCGAGTCTGAGCAGCAGACGTGGTGGCGAGGGAAGGTGGTGGTCGGGGCCGCAGAGGGACGGCAAGCGTCTCGGGGGGAGACTCCGGCTTGGTGATGGGTTCCCGTCACAGGGAGAGGCGGCGAGGGAAAGGACCGGTCAAGGCTGCCATGGTGGCTCCGGGGCGTGGCACCCGCTTAGATGCCATGAAGTCAGATGGGGACGAGAGGGACACGTCAGAGGTGTGTTCGTGCCTGTTACACCGTGTGCTGTGTTCTGAGGGGCTGCGGGGAGCTGTGTAGAGGGTGGTGTCAGGAGCCTCCACAGAGGGGCCAGCTTGCGGCGAAGTAAGTCTTAAAGATGGGCCGGGAGGGGGAGCCAAGGAGCAAGATGAGTGTGAAGCCCTTTCGGCATTGTGACTAAGGGAAGGGGCTCAGGCATCCTACCAGCCGGAATTTACATACTGACTTTTTTTTTTTTTTTTTTTTTAGGTTTATTTAGTTTGAGAGTACAGGAGAGGGGCAGACAGAGGGCGAATCCCAAGCAAGGTTCTGCACTGTCAGTGCAGAGACCTACACCTTCGGGGGGGGGGGGTGCGCAGAACTCATGAACCATGAGATCGCGACCTGAGCCCAAATCACGAGTCTGACGCTTAACCGGCCGAGCCACCCAGGTGCCCCCCTGACTCCTTTCTCTGTGACCTTGGGAAAGTCACTTTCCCTGTTTCAGCCTTGGTTTTCTCATTCTGTGAAATGGGATGCAGAGCGCCTCCTCCCGCCACGTATTATCTGTTAAGTGAGAAAATGGAAATGAAGCATCTGGCAGGGTGCACCGTGGGAACTGAGCAGCTGCTATTTAATGTGTCCTCCCGCCGTGGCTATCATGGTTTGGGTCCCACCCTAAATACCAAGCTAACCTTCTGGAAATGAAAAACGCTGGCCTAACAGTGGCGTGGTATATTAGCTATCCATTGCTGCATAACAGATCACCCTGAAATTTAACAGCTTGAAACAAACAGAAGCGTTTACGATAGGGCTGCTTGGCCAGACATGGAACCGAAGCGGCTTGTGGTAATCCAGACTCACCTCCACCTGCCACGCGGTCAGAATACAGCAGCAACCACAAGTGGGTGGCCCAAGAGAGCCTCCGAATGTAAGAAGAGAGCAAATGTTTCTTGTGAATTGCCACCCTCCCCCAGCTAAGCCCCAGCCCCACCTCCAGGTAACAGCGTTTGCTCACCAGGCGGGCCTTGAATCGTCTGCATCCTAATCAGCTGGGAGTCCTGTAAGAAAATGCATGTTCCTGTATTCTGACACAGACATTCATAATTGGAGTCATTCAGGGCCCTGGAACTTGATTTTTTTTTTTTTTTTTTTTTAGTTTATTTGAGAGAGAGCGCGTACGTGCACACACAGGAGCAGGGGAGAGGCAGAGAGAGGGAGCGAGAATCACAAGCAGCCTCCACACTGTCAGCACAGAGCCCGACTCGGGGCTCAATCTCACAACCATGAGATCATGACCTGAGCTGAAATCGAGTCGGATGCCTAGGGGCACCTGGGTGGCTCAGTCCGTTGAGCGTCCGACTCTCGGTTTCGGCTCAGGTCATGATCTCACAGTCTCGTGGGTTCGAGCCCCGAATCGGGCTCTGTGCTGGCAGCGCGGAGCCTGCTTGGGATTCTCTAGCTGCCCCTCCCCCACTCATGCTGTCTCGGTCTCTCTCAAAAATAAGTAAATATAAAACTTTAAAAGGTCAGATGCTCAGCCAACTGAGCCCCCCAGGCCCCCCAAGAACTTAGATTTTTTAAAAAAGAATCTTAGTAGAGTGGATTTTAGATTTTCAGAAAGGCTGAAAATGATACAGAGAATTCCCATATACCCCATAGGCAGTTTCCCCCTGTTACTAAGATCCTAGATAACTGTGGCACATTTGTTACAATTACCGAACCAATATTGACACATTGTTATGAACTAAGGTCCATACTTTTATTCACCTTTCCTTAGTTCTTACCTAATATTCATCTTCTGCTTCAGGATCCCACCCAGGATACCACATTACATTTAATAGTCATGTCTCCGTAGGCTCCTCTGGCTGAGACAGTTTCTCGACTTTCCTTGTTCTTAGTGATTTGACAGTGTTGAAAACCCTGGTCAAGTATTTCCAAGACTGTGCCTCAACTGGGATTTGTCTGATGGGGATAGATGGGGAGAGAGACCACAGAGGTGAAGTGCCACCGGCTTCTCATTACTGAAAGTACACTATGTCACCGTGACTCACCACCGTAGGTGTTCACCTCAAGCACCTGGCTGACAATGCAGGTTTCTCCACTGGAAACTTGGTCTCCCCATTCCTTTCCCACACTGCACTCTGGAGGGAAATCACTGCGAACAGTCCCCTAAGGAGGGAGGAGTTTCGCTTCACCTTCTCGAGGAAGGAGTATCTACATAAATTATTTGGAGCTCTTCTGCATGAAATATTTGTCTGTTCTCCCCATTTTATGTGTTCGACCGTTCACTTAAACCAACATGGGCTCGGGGATATTTCATACATTGGATTATAATCTCTTCCTAGTTCGTTGTATCGCTCGAATTGTTCCAGCTTTGGCCACGGGCAGCTCTTCCAGCTGGCTCCTTTGTCTCTTTGACATACCTTACCATTTGTGTGTGTGTATGACACACGAAATTTCCCTTTTGGCACTACGAGATGCTCCAGGCTCATCCTGTGTAATTTCCTGCCCAAGCCTCACAGCAGCCATTTATCAAGGAGCCCTGGTTCCTTTTACTGGACAATGGTATTAAAAACAACGATCTGGGGCGCCTGGGTGGCTCAGTCGGTTGAGCGTCGACTTCAGCTCAGGTCACGATCTCGCGGTTCGTGAGTTCGAGCCCCGCGTCGGGCTCTGGGCTGATGGCTCGGAGCCTGGAGCCTGCTTCCGATTCTGTGTCTCCCTCTCTCTCTGCCCCTCCCCCGTTCATGCTCTGTCTCTGTCTCCAAAATAAATAAACATTAAAAAAATAAAAAAAAAAAAACAAACAACGATCTGGGCTCTGGGTGTCTGAATTTGTGATACGCTTGCTACAGCTTTTTTTTTTTTTTTAAACCAGAGACAGCCCTTGCTTAGTTTTGTTTCCCCGTCTTTTACTGCCTTCCCAAACCAGTTTCAGTATCCGTCGGCAGAGGGCGCAAAAAAAACCCAAAAAAAAGCTAGTACGGATGCATCACCGCTTACGCGTCTCCCAGTGAAGAACCACGCGAGATAAGGCGCGGAGGCGGGGCCTAGGAGGTGCGCAAGAGACCTGTCAAACCCGTACAGGGGCGGGGCGTATCTTGCGGCCTGGATCCGGAGCTGTCACGTGAGGGTCGGTGGTCAGCTGACTGGGGCGCAAGTTCCGCGGGGAGGTACCGGCCGAGACGGAGGATGCTGCTGATTGGTGGAGCAGGAGCCAGAGGGGGGGGCACTTCGGGGCGGGTCGATGACGGCGGGGACTACGATTGGCTTATGCGAGTCACGTGGGATATCGTAGGGCGCACCAGGAAGAGTGGGGTGTCTTACGCGGCTGTTTGCGCAAGCGTTGAAGCGGCGGCTCGCCGATTGGAGACGGTGAGTCACGGGGCGGTGTGCCCCTGCCGGTGGGGGCGTGGCCGGCAGGGGCGCACCTCGC